TATTATTTTTCAATTATGAATACACCAAAGGAAAGATCTAAGCTTTCTTTCTCGTATACTCAAATACAGTTTCAACATAATAAAAAATGGTAGAGTTATCGATTATTGAATAGGAAGATTCAAGTTTCAAAAACGGTTAAACTTAAGTATAGGGAAGGCTAATGAAAACTCTCTCAAAATTATTTGAGTAATCCAAAAACCCAATAAAAACCATAACTTTTTATTTAAATAACAAAGTTGATATCCACTTCCGGTGTAGCAGGAAGTGCCGCCATCTTAAAAATATTTGCATTAAGCTGCACCTACCGATTATGGTTATAAACAAAATTTTAGAAATATTATTGTTAGAACTCCCTATACTTCTAATGTGGGCTTTTGCCGGAACAGCCTATATAAGTCGGTTTGTACTTAAGGTTGAAGGGGAACAGGTTCGTTTGTAATGCGACAGATGGCGCGGAATTTATTTCTCTATTTTCTTAACTATTCACATTACTTAAAGTTTAAAAAAAGTTTTGTGCATAAAATATTTCTTTCTTGAAAAGTCTTCAACGGACACTTTTTTCTTTTTCGACTTTTTTTGAAATGCAACAACACTTTAATGGCGAGTTTTATGTTATGCACGAACGAAGCAAATGTTTAATAAACAAGTGTCTAAAAAGTTTATAAAACATGGTGTATACTATACTTTTTCTACAAGCAAATAAACAAATAAAACATTAATTATTTCAATTCAATGACGTATTTCTCTAACTCTGAATGTCGAACTGAGAAACTTCAAACTACCAACTTGATATTGAGATGACACTTCGAGCGTGTTTAATGAAATGGCAACAATCCGTTTCTAATGAGTAGTCGTATATTTGGCGACAAATTTGAATGCTTTACGTAGCTTTTTACGACTTTACTTTTTTATTACAATTTAATGACCAATAATTGAAATCTACAATAAAGTTTGTAAAATGCGGGTGCGAACAAGGTTCGCTTTCGGCTAGACCTCTTTGCGATTTTTTTTGTGGTAATACCAACTATAGTAAAAGTATTTGTGCGGCGGGGTGCTCTTATGAAGATTGTGTCCAGAAGGCAATATGCATTTTGCGTGATTCATAGCTCTTTCTTCGCGAGAATGGTCGAGAGGGGTTGGTTGAGTTTATGACTTTAGTGAAAGTGGAAACGTCTGAAATAAGTTGGGAGTTTTCAGACTCCTTCGATCTTATTTAGAAGTCGCATTGGAGGAAATGACATATGCGGCTGGTAAAAGTGTACAAGTAGCATAACTGCAAACTATTATCTTTAGTTCGCATGATAGTAGAACAGAGGGCGACGACAAAACGTAAGATGGATAGGTCGTACATGCTGTGACCCGGATGAATGTTTGATGGCCCAGCACTACTGCCACTATATGTGGATTGCCGTCTCGAGCTCAAACATGTCTTATGCAGCGGCTACATGCATAATCCAAAGGCTTCCATCTCGGGATTCTCGCTGCTTTTCTACAGTTTGAGCCACTGGAACATCCGTTTAGAGCGGTACCGACCTGATAATTAGTGCGCTCCGACTCGATCAACCTCTTAAATATACATAAATTCAGAGAATCCGCACCAAGATATTCAACCCAACTCATCTCGACTATATTACTTTCTTTGTATAATACAGACGACCAAACTTAACGTACGTTTACGTCTTTCGTTGCCCACTTTATGATCACATTCAACGGACCGCCTCTTTAAATTTGATTTTATTACAATAGATGCACCCAACTTTATTGCTCATGACTAACATCGAACAAAATGATCATATTTTATAAACACAAGAATTGAGTTTAATCAAAAAAATTCAGCAAAAATTACAGTCTTGCTTTCAAATCTACAACCTGCCTCTCAGAAAAAATTAAAATATACAACCATAACCCGGTGGAATGAGAATATCCTTTTAAGCACTTTTGATTTTTGAATAACTTTTTTATGTTTGTTATTGCTAGAAAGCTCTTTTAATTTTCTATCTAATAAAGAAAATATCATTGTCCTGCGACAAAGACTTATTGGGAAACCATATTTAAAGCGTTTTTACGATTTAAGGTAAATTGACTATTTTTACTATTTTTACTACTGCTCACCTTAAATTTGACCCAATAACGTTTTATGCATTTTTTTGAGTTTTTAAGACCTCTAGAACTGTAAAAAACGTTATATGGATTAATTTTAAAGTTGAAATTTTTTTAAATTTTTATCGAGATTTTGGTCAATCTTGGCACCCGGAACGGTTTGTTGCCAATAATTCCGGAGTGATAACATTTTATGTTGGGTACTGTTGGAAAAAAAAATTAATTTTCTATCATATACAAAAAGGATCAGTGTTTTACAATAAACAGTTATCGAGAATATTTCTGATAAAGTCAAAAATATCAAAAATATAAATTCGACCATAACTTTAAAACCATTACGAATTTTTCTTGACGCCAATCGATTTTCCGGAACATTTTACTTATGTTTAGATCAAAATATTGTATCATTGAGATACAGTTTTTCGCAATTTACAAAATAAAAAAAAACACCTGCTCGTTATAAACTAGTGTTTTTGAACATGTCTCAGATTCAATTTAAACCTATCTTATCCGATAGATTTTGACGCGCTGATTACGAATTTGCCAAGCATTTTGAGCTATCTTCTCTAGTTTCGCCGTAATCGGCGTTTAAAAATTCTGTTACTTTGCGGACCTATGTTTATTAAGATTTTTTTTGTTTGTTTTGGTCCGTACTACTACCTCCCGAAATATTTCTTTTTTTAACACCCTGTATACATTTCATGCTACTTTTACTTATACTTTATATTACTATACACTATATATATTATTCTTTATATTACTTACCTTTTGATTACTTATATCTATTTCACTAAAAAAAAAAATTCCTTAATTTTTAATGCAAAACTTACCTTTCATTCATATTACTTTTAACTTACCTTTTGTTATTATTATTACTATTAACTTTTACACTATTTTCACTTTTGTTAGATACTTGTTTTAAAGTTCGCGCTCTTATACGCCCGCCATCTATTGGTGCTTATTTTAGTTAGTATTGTGCGCTTTCTCTCTTATACTCATTATAACATGTGCACTTGTTTTTAAAGATCGCGCTCTTATGCGCCCGCCCTCTTTTGACATTTATTTGAATTATAATTGAATTTGAATTTGTGAAAAATTGCCGACTTGACCGGGGCTCGAACTCGGGACCTACCTGCTGGAAAGCGGGACCTTATGCCGCTGAGCCACCACCGCCGCCGACATTTTCATTGTTTTCATTCAATATATTTTACACAAAATTTTTCAAAAATTTATTTTTCGCATTTTTACAATGTTTTTGTGCTTTATTAAGTCTTTTGAACCCACAAGAGTGCAAATGGACAATTTTGAAGTTTTTAATTTTTTCGGTTTTTGTCAAAATTTTGGGCGGTTTTCGGACGCGGAGCGGTTTATTGTTAATAACTTCGGACTTATTGGAGATATTTGGTATCGTTGGAAAGAAAATTTAATTTTCTATCATATACAGAAAAGATTAGTGCTCTACGATGAATAGTTAGAAAATTTGTGATAAAGTCAAAAATATCAAAAATTTAAATAGGTCTATAACTTAAAAACTATTACGAATTTTGCAGTTTTCTTGACGCCAATCGATTCCCCGGAACATTTTACATATGTCCACTTCAAAATATTATAAGAGCAAAAAGTTAAAAACCGATAAAATCTGCCTTTAATTTTCTATCAAATGGTAAACTGGAAGTCGTTCCGGGTTATGGTTCCGGGTACAGAGCCATTTTTAGTTTTTTACATAAAAAAGTCATATCTCAAAAACTATGATTTCTCGGATAAAATGGTTTGTACAGGCGTATTCTCCGGTTGATTTTACATATAGTGCTAATTTTTTATAAGAATCAAAATATTTTAATTTTTTGATCAGAATCGTATATAGTGTTTATGCTTATATTCTTGGCTTTATTACTCAATATCTTAAAAATTACTTGTCGTAGAACATTTTAACTTGTGCATCGTGTTCAACGTGTAATTTTACGTCTAGAAAACTACATTTTAAGAATTTGTGTAATTTAATGTTTATCGACCATTTTTTATTTATTACCGAACTCTTAATTTCTCGTCATATAAAAAAAACATTTTTGTCCTGTGACAAATAGTTATTGAGAAAATTGCTAGGAAGAAAATTTTTTCAAGAAATTGTCGACAAGGGAAAACTTTTAATCTGTATTAAAATCTAAAATAAAATGCGTAAAAGATATATTGATTATATTAAAAATAGGAAAATGGAACGTAATTATAAGATTTGTTAGAATAATAAATGATGTGAGCAAACAAGTGTACGAAAAGTGTTGCAGTTGGAATCGTTTTGCTAGGTAAATAAACCGAGACAAGGGGTTGTAGTCTTAAATGTACTGCTACTTCAATTTGTAAAAAGGACCAACGAGTGTCGCACGAGGACACCTAAAGAGAAGTTGAAATGATTTTAAATCAGGTTTTGGTTGGAAGTGATTAGGAGAGTGTCTCCGTTGCTTGCTTAGAGAGGAGTAAGCAAACATTTGTAAGTTTTTTTTATTATTGCCGCAGTGGGTGAGAATTTGCAGTTCGTATCGAGAGTGACGTTCTCTTGAGAGCGTTGTTGATCGTATGTATGTCTTGGTGTAAAAAGGGTCTGGAAGATTGTTTCGTGCAGTGCATTTGAGAAGTGGTCCGGGTATGAGTGTTGCCCTCCACGGAGCTTTGCTCCAGTTGTGTCTGTTATTGGTGTAAAATTGAAAGTCTGGCAAGGCGATATCCGGTCTAAGATGCGATTTATTATTAGCGGGTGACTGTCATATACAAATAGCGTGAGATCAATGATTGACGCCGAAAGTTAGCGATCGAGCTTAAAAGCATGTGGCATCAGACGCACGCGGCAGCGCAGTTGAGCTTACGAGATTCTCTGTCCGCATGTTTCCGCACAGTTGCAGTCCGACTGTGCCCTTCGCAGGATAATTCGCGACGCTGCGTCACGTGCCGACGTTTCACGCACCGCGAGTAATTTTTCAAGCACACATGTTTTAGTGGCGCTAAGCCGGACCGGTCTTAAGGTGCGGACACGCAAGTGACTTATGCGATGGTGATGAAGCGGAAACAGCACAACCGGTACTTAGCCATCGGTATTGTGTACATCGCCACTATCATCAGTCAGGGTGAGTGTCCGTCGGTTAAGTGCAGCCCGGTATAATCACGATGAGAACAGGGCAGCTCGTAATTGCATAAATTAAATTGCAAATTCCGACCGGCAACATTCAAAAGCGAATTAAGCCACTTACCACGTGACCAATTTTCGTTTTATTCCCACCTTAGAAAACCCACCGGACTGGAACCCAAATCAAAACACTCAGCGTTCATACTCTCTTTAATTTTAACGAAGATTGAGCGCAAACACCTGCACCCAAACAATTTCCTCCTACTTTCTTTAAATAAACTCAGCTAACAAATTTTACACAATTGTAAACACCCTAAGACTTAACCCTTTTACACCCGAGCTTTAACGCCTTTGAAGTGCTAATTGGCGATGCCGACCAACTTTTACAAGTATTTTCAACACGTTATAATCACGTAGATAGAATTAATAACTAAAAAATATATTTTATTACACCAGTTCTGTAAATCTAAATAAGTTTCGAGTGAAAATTAGAACTTGCTCTTTTAACGTTTTGTTTGTTGCTTTGGCGCTAAAATCACGTTGTTGCAATTTTGTTGTCATTAATCTTCCAAGCCGCTCCTAATTCTACGCCACTGGTGACAATCAACGCAATCAGTTAAGGATCTGTTTGCTTGAAATAAAAAAATCTTTGAAATGTGCCGAAGGGTGAAGTGAGTAAAGCGAAACCATGAATACTGTTTTTATTATGACCGTGTAGCCTGTGATTTAATTCGTTTGATGCCGTTTGTTCCAGTGAAACTGCAATGAGAAAAAATGCTAATTACAATGAACTAAATAATTAAACGCTCGTTGAGATTGAATTGCCGCTAGCGGTCGGAAATTTGCCGATTTTATTATTAGTTTTAAGCAACTAGTTACTAAGTGTAACTGCATTTATTATTTGGGCCGCATACAAAAATTTATTACACCTCGAAATCAAAAGAAACAAAAGCAGAATGATATTTATTTAAAACAAAACAGGTATTACGAAGTTAATTTGTCTTTTACATCTTTGGAAACTTAAATACGTTTCAGTTATGACGTTGAATGAGCCGTGAAACAAATTCACCAAAGATTACATTAAATTTATTGCTTTTAGAATCATAAATAAAAGGTGAAGGTATTTTCCGTACTCTACTCTCTTTCATAACTGGCTGACTTTGTTCAACTTATTTACATTAAACTAACACCTAGTGGCTTAATAATTAAAAAGTTGCAAAAGCTTTTGATGTAAACTACTTAAACAGGTATTTAGATATTTTTTTAAAGTAGGTATTATTAAACATGGTGGAGTCTTTGTCATAGTACATAATATTATTTTCAATGTTGAGAGCATTTCAACTTTTTCTAAATCTTAAAATTTAATTCTGCTCGAATTTTATAGTTTTATGTTTCGCAATGAGCACTGAATATTTTATAACTAGAGATGGGATTTCAAGATATAAAATTGTAAAGGAGGAAATAAACTAGAAGGGAAAAAACTCGAGGATAAAAAGATTAAACGTATTATGCCTTCTAAGACTTTCAGTGGAACATATTTTTGTTTAAAAATCTTGAAATATTCAACTAGTCGCTAGTAATGTTTTATAGGAGTGGATTGTTAACATATTATTAGAAGCCTTAATATGAATATAAAGATGGTCGTTGTAAGTTCGCAAAACAAGTGTGAATTCTGTATGAATATTTACATTAAATTAGGCTGATACACAGCAAGCTTACTGCAAACAACGTGAATAAACAACTAATTTCCATGTATATATAGAGGAAGTGCTTAGATGGGGTTGTTGAATTAATTTAAAAATTAAAAATCTCACTAACTAAAGTTATACGATGTCTTTAAAACTAATCAAACTGATTGCTGGACTAACATTCCCGATGTATAAATTGTTCAATAATTCAATCTTCTTGAAAAACAAACCAAACTCTGTTTGATTGGTAGTTTTCTGGAAATGTCGTGAACAAACGTAATTTCAATTTGTTTGGATAGTAGTACTAAGACCAAATTAATATTGGACAAATGAAATTATCAGGGAAATTTAATTAAAATTCAAGATTGTCTTAAAAATCATAATTAATTGTTAATTAATGTTTAAAATACTACTAAGCTCACTCCTAACAAGTTTGGTTTTCATGGAAATGAGTTATGACTGGAAGTAAAAACCTCGTGAAATATCCAAATGTAAATTTGTCTCCATTAGATATAATCGCTCCAAGAACCGTGTTAGAATTATTTTTTAATTTAAACGTGCATGCAGCATTTTGTAATAAGTTATCAAAAAAACATGATAACACCCGCTATCGCTGTTTGTAATAATTAAAAACTTCACTTAAATTTTCAACGAACGCGAAATACGCATACAAAATTACAAATTAAACGTAAATGAACAAATTTCCCAAATCGATTCGGTGAAATTATTTTAGCACGTAACACTTTTCCGAGGTTAATAATTATGGTTTAATATTTATAATATTCTCAGCATTACCTGTATTTTTTTCAAATAAAAGAATTTCCTTGTATTTCGATTAGATTTTTGTTTTATACGACTTCTTAGTATTTCCAATGTTTTGTAATTGAATAAATAATTGGTTTCAAAGCGCTTTTATATACGTTCTTTGAAGAATTGCTCAAAGCTCAGAACCGATACTAACATTAAGTAGATTACTATATTAACTTTGTATTATAATACATTATGTTTAATGATTTTTTCTTCCAATTAAAACTTTATAATTAAAAGTAGCAAGAAGTTTAAGCAAGCCAAAACTCTATTAATGAATTAATATTATATTTTTGTTCTGCAAGTTTTTTGAGTTTATTTCTGACAGAGCAAATGTGTTAAACTTTGTGACCCGATGTAGATTTAGTTTATTTGTCCCAAGCAACTGCAACGAGTCTAATGTTATGCAGTTTGTGGTCGCCATTCTCTCGGTCTCTTTAGGTATCAGTGTTAACCAGTTTTGCTAACCTGGTTTAATTTTTGGTCAAAAGACAGTAATTGTTGCTTAATAGTTTATGTTCGACTATAAAAAAATGAATGAAAAGAAATGGCCGAGCTCTGCACCGGCAATAAAGTTGGGAATATTAATTTACAAATTTATTGTATTTCAAGACAGAGCATAACATCACGAATATTCTTAATCGGGAAGAACAAATAAATGTAATAGGATAATCGATAGTCGACGAAATTGGGTCTATTTATATTTGGTACTAGGTTTAATATATGAAATTAATTTTCGAATGACATGCGACTATAAATTATTTGATTTAGTTCTATGCAGATAATTTAAAATTGAATAATTTTGATGGGTTTTTAAAAATTGATGTTAACTGGTAAAATATTCAAAAACTGATGAGATTTTCTTAGTTATATAGAAAAGTCGTAAAATATATTTTATGTTTGATATAAACCTTATTGTGATCGAATAAAAATGTGCTGCCATAAAGATTGACATATAGAGAAACTAGGAATATATTTCTGGATGTTTTATTAATATTACCCTCATATATGCGGTAGCTCATTAAATTGACTATTTTATAAAAGGTTCATATAGGCTCGAAACGAACAATTGTATGACTATTGCGAAGAATATCTTTACTCACGCTTCATAAATAACTAAACTTGGGGTGAAAACGTATGCTACATTTAAGGAAACCACTCCGAGTTTTTTTGCAAAGTAAGACAAATGTACGAAGTACGCCAAAGTTAATTCTTTATATGTTGGCCGCGTTTTATGACAAGTCCCTTGTAATGCTTATAACATATTTATTTAGATTGTCCTGGTGTGTAGAATGTTACGAGGCTATTCCCGAACTCACTGTAATTTAGGGTTACTTCCTCAAACAACTTTATTGTTTCTATTAAAATAGACACGTGCCATAAACTCCATGTATAAAAATTACTTTGTATTTTCAACCACTTAACTCGTTTTAACATTCAACTGTAACTGTTTTATTGCTCTCTATTTTAATTTATCGCCCCGTTTACTAAACAGCCACAAAATTGACACATTTCGAATTCCGACTTTGATTATAATTTAACTACATTTTAACCACATTCCACACACACTTCCCGAAGATGAGTCAATTTTTCTCAGTGTCATTCCATTCTGAATTTTGATGAAAATGAACTTACAAAAAATACATCCCGTCCAATGCCAAACAAAACCCAAAATTATTTACAAGCTTCTCCTCGAAATTACCGTGATTCTGAAAATATCGTCTCGCAGGTGTTGTAAACTGGCTTTTATTTGCACGCCGGATAACTATTTTTTGCGGCACTTTACCAAAATTCAACTAAATAAAACTGGTTTTTGATATTGAAGCGGCCGATAAAATCTCTCTTTTGAGCAAGTTGCTGATAAAAAATTCATTACAAAAGTTTTTCAGATTGACTTTAACCCACTAAATATTGATGTTAGGAAACTTTAATACTAACCGATAATGTATCTATAATAATCATTACTTTGCGCATTCTTTGTGTCAACAGATATAATTATGTGTCAACAACCTTTTTCCATTGCCTAAAATATTTATTAACGTGGTTGACGTTGGATGGACTTTATTAATGATACAAAATTGTGGGGATTGAGACTAATTAAGCTTTTTCATCAAAAGTTAATGAGCGAAAATTTTTCACTTAACAATGATCAGTGATCAGTGATCATAAACACAAATATCGGGAATAAACTCTCACGAAAATATTTTCAGTCATTCAAATATCTCATTGTTTGAGAAAACGACAAAGACAGAAGGAAAAGTTTGCTGAAAATAGATAATCATTTCATGATGGCTGAAAGTTTTAGTTACCGAGTTCATTAAGGTGCTACGATATTTGAACTTTTCGCTATATAATATTTGTAGGTTCCTCAAAACTATCAAGTTTATCATTTTAATTACAAATTACTTAAAATAATTTATTAGAAGTTTTTGTATGCGAAATAATTAATTTCTTTTAATATATAATAATGTCAAAAACTGCGGCAACGTTTTCATTGTTTGTTTTA